CTGTTTTCCTCTTACTTCCTGGCATGGCTCCTCTACCAGGCCATGCCTCCTGGAGCATAGGAGAAAGTCAGGACTCTGGGAAGTCTACCGCCTGACTGGGAAAGGGCCAGTAGGGGCTTCTCAAACTTGAGCGGCCAACACAATCACATGGGCTCCTCAAGCACAGATCTGCTGGCCCCGCTCCAGAGGTACTGACTGAGTAGGTTGGAGTGAGGTCTGACAGTTAACATTGCTAATGTTTCCAGGTGCAGCTGATGTGGAACGCAGGCTGGGCTCCCTTGTAAATAACCAAGAAGTGAGTGAGAATGTGTGGCGGCGGCGAGCACAGGCAAGCTGGAGGGAGGACGGAGTTGAGGGGGGCGCTGGGGTAGGATCCTCAGAGCTTCTCTGTTCCCTCTGTTTTTTCATTCCGTCTTGTACTTCATAGGTGTTTCCTCACAGCACTTAAATTCTTACATTTTCTGAGAAAATACTGGCTCCGGCCCATCACGGAGGCCAAAGTTACCACCTGCAAGGGCTTCTTTGGAGCTGGCAAAAGAGGAAGCCAGAGCCAGTTTCTCTGTCAGCGTTCTTTAGTCTCTGTCCCTCTTCAGCCTGCAGCAGGATAGATGGCCCTGGAGCCCAAATGGCTGTCCTGATCACACAATCTACCTACAACCTTCTGGAAACTTCTCAGACCTCTCTGGCTCTGCAGGTGGAGTGTGGAGTCACATCGAACCAAGCATCAACCATGCCATGCCGTCTGTGGTAGAGATGTCCACCTGTTTTTATTGTTTTGAAATCCAGATAAGAGAGTTCCAAACCACGTGGTTTTCTGTATCAAGACCTGAAAACATTTCCAAGAATCCCAGGTAGAGCCTGGGGCCTAGAGGCCTCTCCTCCCATCCCTTTCCTTCACCCTTAGCGTGGGCTTGGAATATCTGCAAGGAGTCCCCTCTGTATCCCTTCCAGTAAAGCCTGTACGTGGCTGGCACATGGAAGTCTCCCTGGAGAGGAGATGGGTGAGGCTTTGGACACGCTTCCTGAAGCCACAAGAAAGAGGAGGCTGCTGATTCACAAGCAGCTGCTTCCTGGAATTACAATGCCAGGCTGCACTGAATAGTGTTTTTCCAAGGTGATGTGAGCTGTTACAACATTCCTGCTGGTCCCCATTGGACCTTCCTGTAAGTCAAACCAGAAAGTTACCCAAACCAGCATTCCTGCTCAGCGGAGCACAGGATTCCAGACACAGTGTTTCCAGCGTTCCTTTATCACTCTCTTGGGAGCAGGGATCCATTTCTTTCAGAGCCTTGGCATGTCATCAGCCAGGGCCACGGGTTTGTCTGGCAGGCCACAGAGTCATGAGGAAGTGGCATGTGGCACTAAGTCAGCTGGGAAACACAGGCATTTGCAGATTCCCCTAACAGGAGGGTCAGCTGAGGAAGGAGCAGCCCCACGTCACAAAGGTGCTTTCTCTGTTCCGACACAGCTCTTGACCGGTGTGGAACGGAAAGCTGGTGGATCAGCCTCGACTTCTCTCAGAAATAAGGGCTCGGGGTTATAAGTGCCCCTGCTTTGTCCTGGTATCTCTGTCTCCATGCAGGAGATTCTGTGGCCTCTGTAGGATAGCAATTTTCATTCAGAACGGAAAAACCGCGTGGGTGGCCATGGGGAATGTGCAGAGGAACAGGACACATTTTGGATTTTTCCCGTTCGATGATGCCTCACCCCATACAAAAATAAGCAATTAAAAAAAAAAACTAGACACACAAAAAAGTTTCTATAATGTTTTTGTTTTTGAGACATGGTCTCACAATAGCCCAGGTTAGCGTTGACCAGGCTATGTAGTCAAGGATGATCTTGAACTTCTGATTATCCTGGCTCCACACCTGGAGGGCTGGGATGTTAAGGCATACATCATAACACCCAGTTTTATACCATGCTGGGGACCAACCCCGGGCCTTTTGTGTGTGACAGGCAACTGAGCTGCATGGCAGTTCCTGGTTCCTGGTTCTACTGCCATGGTTCTCTTCTAGCAAACGGAAAGCTGGAGAGAGTGGAGGCGTCTGGGAGTAAAGTGGACGGACCCGAGAAACAGGGGCTGCTCTTAGAGGCGTTAACTGAATTCTACCCTCCTCTAATGTAAACTGGAAAATGACTTCTCTCCCTCCTTCCTTCCCTCCCTCCTTTCTTCCCTTCCTCCCTCTTTCCCTCCCCCCTCCCTTCCTCTCTCCTTCCTTGACTGATGATTTTGGCATCTTCAGACAGAGAAATGATGAACTAAGAGGCCCTGCTTTGGGGCTGTCAAGAAGATGCAGTGGATAAAGGCACTTGTTTTCAAGTTGGAAGACCCGAGTTCGATCCCTGGACCCCACATGGTAGAAGAAGAAAACGGAATTCTTCAAGTTGTCCTCTGACCTTCATACATGAGCTATGGTATGTATGTGCATGTGTGTGTGTGTGTGTGTGTGCGTGCACACACACACACACACACACACTAAACATTTTTTTTAAATAAAATTTATTTTTTTAAATAAATAAAACTTAAAAAATAAAGATTCCACTTGTAAAACTTATGCTAAAATTAGTTATGCTAAAAATAACTGGAATTTGTACCGAGAGCTAGAGGTTTACAAGTCATTCTATTTTTCCTCTTCATATCTGGTGGATGATAAAAATGCCTGCTCCCCAGACATTAATCACTGTTGGTCTCAAGCATTTTGTGTAAGAGACACTCATCCTCTATTGTCATTTAATTGATGAGGGCAGGGGTTAGGAGCAGGGCAGGGTAAAAGCACAGTCAGGTTTTATATCCACGTCTTCTGACTCCCACGTTCATATTCTTTGGGGCCCATGGTATGCACTGGTCATTGCTGCTGGCAGTCCCTGAATCCGAGGGATCCCCAGGAACAAGTCCTTGGAATCCCAGCTGGGCTCTGACATCCTGAGAAGGCAGTGTGGCCCAGGAGAGGATGCTGCTGAGCCTGTGACTGCCCAGTTGCTCCACAGCACATGGCGGTCCTCACAGGGCCTGGTCGGGTGCTATAGTGGCATGCAAGATGACCAGAGAAGCCCCCCTAGGCCATGTCTTACTCTTTGAGGTGGGTGGCAAAAGTTGTGGGTTTGTTTTTTTTGTTAAACTCTCTGCTTCCTGCCTTTTACTACAGGTCCATTTCCTCAAAGCTTCACTCAAGACTTCATTTCCAAACAGCCATGTATTTTAACTTCTGAGAACACTTCTATTTTTTTAAATTAAATTGTGCTGAGGATTTCATCTATAAGTATTTTATTTACATCATTCCTATCCCTCCCTCTCCTCTCGCCAACTCCTCCCACGTCCTCACTGGAGTTCATGATCTCTTCTTCTGTAATTATGATTACTTCACACACACACACACACACACACACACACACACACACACACACACACACACACACAGTCCATTTGGTGTTGCTCTTATACGTGTGTTTAGGGCTGACTACTTGGAACTGGACAACCCATCTCCAGGAGCTTGTCCCTGGAGAAAACTAATTCATCCTCTGTTAGAAGTCATCAGTTGCCTGTAACTCTTCATCTTGTGGTGATGCCTTATGGAATTGACCCCATCCTCATTGGCTTATCAACTGGTGTTGCCATTGGACAGGTATTGTTAAGGCAACCGTATTATCGAGACTTCATGAATGTACATCACATCCCTGTCATGTTTAGAAGACACAATCTAGCAGCAGACTTCCTGGTCCCTCCAGCCCTTACAATATTTCTGCCTCCTCCTCTGCAATGTTTCCCAAGTCTTAGGTGGAAGGTTGAATCGTAGATAAGCTTACTGGGCACCCACACAGCCACCTATTCTCTGCATTTGGACCAGCGTGGGTCTCTGCAATGGTCTCCATCTGCTGCAAAAAGAAGCTTCTTTGATGGGTACGGGAGCTGCATGTATATTGCCTCTACTTTCTCCCATGAACTCCTCGCATCAGGACCGACTCCAGCTGGAAATGTAGACCATGGGCCATGCTGCTGACTGTACTCCTCCATTCTCTTCACACTCGTCCATCTTAGACTTTGTTCCATCCTTGTTCTCTGGGAGAAAGAACCCTTCTATAGCCAGTCCCAGGAAGCTAACACCATAATGAGTCTAAGACTCAGACTTGAAAACTCTAGTTCTAGGCTTTGGCTACACTGGAATCATCTGGAGAACTTTCATAATCTCACTGATCCAGGCAGGAGCTCCAGTGCCTCTGGAATGCTATGACTTGGCTCCCATTTGCCCTGTCTAAGAATTGGTGTTAGGTAGGGTCATGTGGTGATTAAACTGGCCAGTGGGGTATGAGGACAAGGCAGGGAAGTGTCTAGAAATGCTTGCTACATTTAAGAAAAATCTATGATTCAAGGGCTATGCTCGCTGTCTCTGGCAGTTGTTGTTGGAACGAGTACCCAGAGAGGGAGTTACGTTCAGGAAATGATGAGGGGCATCGCCCCATCTGGTCCTCCTCTTGGGTGATTAGTGCTGTTATTTTATAAACAAGGAAACTAAGTCTCCAGCGGTTTCAATATCCAGCCTTCCCCAGGCCCCACTGGCAGCAGCTGGTAGAGCAGAGCCAGGCCAAATCCAGTTCTGCCTGGAACGTAAATGAATTTTTTTTTTTTTTGAGTGTAGGCCCCTCTGTTCACTGCTAGTCATCAGAGCACAAAGACAATGATTTTTTCCTCACGACTTGACAATTCCCAGGGACGTGCTGTTAAGCTTTCTGAAGTAACAACAGTAACAAAGGTCCTCATTTTTTTAGTACTTGCCCATTTCCACAGTGTAAATATTCCCACCACCACTGACTTTAAGCTACCATTGAGTTCACTAAACATTAACTTGGGAGAAGACGCGGCGGCACCAGCCACTGTAGATCAGAAAACCACTAGAAAATGGAGCAAGTGCCTACAGCCAGCCTCTCATGCTAAAAGCCACGTTTCCCTTCAAGCCCAGAGCAGGACTTTCTTTTAACACACACCCCCCCAAACAGATCTTTACCTGGAGTTCTGCACTGGTAGGGAGGTGTTTCCCTTGTGCCTAGAAGGCAGTCAAGCACCAGGAACAAACGAATGGGTGTGAACCTCCTCGGGGGTTTCCTAACATCCACAGGATGCTCCTCCTCCTGCTGGGGGGCTGAGGGCCCTTGCCACCATTTGCTTGATTTCCTTGTGGAGCATTGTGTATACACTTGCTGGGTTCCGCCGGCAATGCTGAGCCCAGACTCATGACTGTGTGGTACAGTGAAGCAGCAGGGGTTTGGGCATGTGGCCAGTGGAAACACGATGGGGGGCCAGCTCCAAGCCCGCTCGGGTCCGCAGTGCAGTTGTGGTATGCTTGCAAAGCTTATTCCAGACTGTGGCGTGCTAGCTTCTAAGGGTTGGGAAAGGGCTCCTGTCCATCATTCTCACCCAGGAGACAGTCTGCCCATATCCACTGATGCCAAACTCTTCTCTCAGAAGGACTCCCATCAGACATTTGGGTACCGCTTTGAAAATATTCGTTTTTGTACTAACACGAATTCCATAATCTGTATTGCATCCTGATGTGCCCCCATTTCTAACTCTAGGGCTTACACAATTAAGCCAGCCCCTTTCTGTGTAGCAGGCAGCACAGCCAGGATAGACCAGTGTGCCAATTAGCTTTCCATCAACATGACAGACAATCAAAATGAATCAAGTCCTAAAGAGGAAAAGTTGATTTTGATTCATATTTTCAGAGGTTTTCGATCCATGGTCTCCTGGCCTGCTGCTTTGTATGGTACATTGCTGTGTGATGGTCTTATGTCAAATTGCTCTGATTGGTCAATAAATAAAACACTGATTGGCCAGTGGCCAGGCAGGAAGTATAGGTGGGACTAACAGAGAGGAGAACAGAGAAAACAGGAAGGCGGAAGGAGACACTGCCAGCCGCCACCATGACAAGCTGCATGTTAAGATGCCAGTAAGCCACGAGCCACGTGGCAAGGTATAGATCTATTAGAAATGGACTAATATAAGATATAAGAACAGTTAGCAAGAAGCCTGCCATGGCCATACAGTCTGTAAGCAATATAAGTCTCTGTGTGTTTACTTGGGTGGGCCTGAGCTGCTGCCGGACTGGCAGGCTAGAGAGATTTGTCCTGACTGTGGGCCAGGCAGGACCAGAAAAACTCTAGCTACAGTACATTACAGCCAGAGCACATGGTAGAGGAATTCTGTTTACCTCTTAGAAGCCAGGAGCAAAAAAAGATGTGAAGAAACTAGGGTCCCAATGTCCCCATAAGAGCATATCATCAATGACCTAACTTCCTCTCATAGACCCACCTCCTCACCTCTCAATAGTACCACCTTGGGAACAAAGTCATGGCCGTTGCCCATGGGGAATATTCAAAATGCAAACCACAAAGTCATGCCTAGTGGCCCATAAATGCAGTCCCAGCATCTCAAGAGGCCAAGGCAAGAGAGTCACAAGTTTAAGACAAGGTTGGGCTACATGGTAAGACCCTGTCTCAACAACAGCAGAAAGATCCAAACCACAGCAGCCAGATTATGTTACAGGAACAAAAGTTGGTCATAGTCTCCATAGGATCAAACAAAAGTAATAACAATAGCAATTCTTCCTAGATCATTCAAAATACACTTCGAGGGGTGTCTGTGGGCTCATGTTAAGCACTTAGGGATCCAAACTGTCAGAACCCAGTCACCATCTCTTATCATTGCCACTCACTGAAAGACCCTTTAGTCAGCACTGCGATGACTCCTGTGTCCATTTATGATTGCAAAATTATTCCTATTTTATTATCATTCTGCTCTCTAGACTTATTTAAGGACTACCCTGGTACCCTTTTCCCATACAGATGGTCCTGGGTCACCAAAGGGTTCACTTACTAGTTGAGACTTTAAGTTGGTAGGAAAATGATAGACAGTCGGTAGAAATTATAATTGGCATTTTGAATTCTGATCTTTTCACAAGCCAGCAGTATGTAGTATGACACTTTCCTAAGACGCTGGACGGTGGCAGTTGTCAACTGTGACCCATCAATGCTTCCTGCAGAGTGATGTTCCATAGGTTAGCTGGCCTAGACACACTTTGTACTTAGGGTGTTTTTAACCCACAATGGACTTATTGGGGAACAGCCCCTTCCTGGGTCCAGTGGCACTGCATTTCTAGGGAGTTGTGATGCCAGCTTGCTTCTCTCCGGAGACTAACCCTAGTTAGCTCTCGCTTGTGCTTGCTGTCAGTCAGCTCACTATCCCAGAAACATGGTCCAGCGGCTTCATCGTCTTCCATTATGGCACCTAGAATGGAGTTCCCTTTTCTAGACACGGTCAAGGCAAGGCCATGTTCAGTGGGGTTTGCCCTCTGGCTCTTTTGAGACACAATTCCTGCCACTCTGGAGGGTGGCGTGCTGGTTTTTATTTGGTAGCCACAGGCTCCTGTTGCATTTCCATTAGAGCTCACATTGGTAGCAACAGTGATCATCTTCCCTTTCTTGTGTCCCTGTAACTTAGAAATAGGTAGATAATTATTAGTAATATTGGCCGATCATGTTTTGCTCTGCCTAATTATTTTGTTTGTGCTCCCAAGTCCTATGGCTACCATGTTCTCCTAAGATGAACCTTTTCAGATCCCAAAATAGCTTATGTTTATTTGTTAGACTTTCCTCAGCACAGACTGTAACCTGCATTTGTATCTGAAGACACTAATTAGATTAGGACAAGATGGAGGCAATAATCTAAACAAAGATGCCTTGCTGTTTAGTAGGTTCTGGTCAAGAACATCATTTGGGGGCCGAAGGCATGACTCAATGGTTAAGAGCATGTGCTGCTCCTACAGAAGACGTTTGGTTCCCAGCACCCATATCAGATGCCTCACAGGTGTTTGTAACTCCAGCTCGAGGAGAATCCACTGCTCTCTTTTGGCCTCTGCGGACGCTTACACACACAGGGGCATAAATACATGCAGACACATGCCCATAAGTAAAAATAATATAAAAATCTTAAAAACTATTATGTCACATTTATGGTCATCCCATTTCCAAGAATACAGGGATCTTGGGGAGATTTTTTTTAAAATTACTTTATTTCTTTATGCATTAATTTATTTATTTTGAGTCATTCTAGGTTACATCCAGCAAGTAGATTATGCCTGGAATAGAGTAAATATTCAGTGACTCCTAGTTTAATGAATGAGTGACTCTCCAGGTTCATTGGCTCTTGTAACAGAATTTCCTGGAAGGAAATGTATAGTTTTGAAATAAGCTAGTACTTTATTATGTTATTTCATTTTTGTGTTTAGTTATTGTTACAATTTAAAACAGCAAGTATCTGGAAGGAGGCTGACATGAGGTTGCCCTCCAGAGGTGCTTTATTGGAAGAAAGAGCCATGCGACACTGACTGGAGAGAGCCTTGGAAGACACAGGGCATCGTGCTATAGACAGCATGATGGGGCCTTCCATGGAGAGAGAGAGTGCATTCCTTCCAAATTCCAAAAAAGGAGCATCATTAGGATGAACATCCTGAAGAAACGAGCTTTCAAATCCCCAGGACAAAGTGGGCTTCTTATTTTTATAGGTTTCCTGAGTGAGTGGTGGACAGGCTTCCCATGGACCTAGGCTGGCTTGTCTTGCCTGCTAAGGCACACACTACAAACTTGTCTGCAAGGGGGAGGGCTGCAGGGCCAGAGCTTAGTGTGCTTTCTGGGCATCAACTCTCTGTCTTGAAGAGAGAGAGAGAGAGAGAGAGAGAGAGAGAGAGAGAGAGAGAGAGAGAGAGAGAGAGAGAGTAAACTCATAAACTAGGGAGGCTGTAGTCCAACAGTTATAATATTGAAGGCTTGAAGTCTCAAGTAAGATTAAAGGAAGGATTGAAATTGGTCTTCATCCAAGGGGAGCAGGGCTGGCTCCAGGCTCCAGAATCCCCACTTCTGACTGACATTAACCTGCTAATCACCACACGCTGGGTACCACTGCTCTTCTAATCCACATTGGCCACAAGGAAATGAGTTGAGACTTGGTGACTTGTGTTGTTCAAGTTCAACCACAGGAAACACACCACTCATCCTTGTGCAAGTGGTCCAGGAGTTATCAAAAGAGAAAGAAATGAGATTAGGGTCATTGACGTGTCTCAGACAGTAAAGATGTCCGGTGCCAAGCCTGATGACCAGAGTTTGGTCCTCAGAACCCACATGGTGGAAGGAGAGAACTCACTCCCTCAAATGGCCTCTGACCTCCATGCTTTCACTGTGGAATGCACCATACCCAACTCTCCACCACAATAAAGACATACAGGAACATGACTTTTGAAATAGTGGTTAGTCTTCCCTACTGACCAACATCTCTTCCAGTGTTTCAGTGACATTGTTGAAATAATTCTTGTCTTGCAACTTGTCAGCATTCATCTGAATGCCTTATAAAATCCAGTCCCTGGACTGTGGTTCATTTTATCAGTGAGTACCCCACCCTCTTCTTGGGCAAAACCTTTTCCTTAGAGAAGTGGTTCTCAACCTTCCTAATGCTATGACCCTTTAATATAGTTTCTCATGTTGTGGTGACCCCCCCAACCATAAAATTATTTTGTTTCTACTTCATAACTGTAATCTTGCTACTGTTATGAATCATAATGTAAATATCTGTATTTTCCAACGGTCTTAAGTGACCCCTGTGAAAGGGTTGTTCGCCCCCAAAGGGGTCATGACCCACATGTTAAGAACCAATGCCTTAGAGAAAGAGCAAGCGTACTGGAGTCCCATCTTCTCTTCTAGCAACTGCTGTTAGCATCACCTACCAAGGGAGATTAGTTTCTTGTGCTCCTCTTAACTTTCTAATTCTCTTTTCTTTTTTTGTGCCCAGGTAAACATGAAAAATAGGAAAAACAACTGGGCAAGAGGTCCTGGTGAGCATGTGACCATGAGAATGAGTGGTTTGAGTGTGTCTAAATAGAATCTTGAGACAGAGAGAGCGCAGGGTGCATGTGGACATGAGTTAAGGGATAAAGCTTGCCCAGAGGTGGATAAGGAGCAAATCCAAGTGGAGGTTTAAAGTATGACAGGGAAATTATCGATGAGGGAGGAAAGGCTGGTGGGGCACAGCCACCTGCTTACTGTTAGCCAGTAGAGCTCAAGGCTGCAAGACCTTGAGAGGTCATCCAGGGTATTTTTGGCACTGTCCGGTCAGATGACTCCTAGACTTTCCCTGGTTTCTAAATTTGAAAAGTTGCTACAGATTGTCTGATTCTCGGCAAC